CCATCTTCATCAAATGATGTTTCGCGTTGATTTTGGCCGTGGAACATGTCCAGTGGTGGGCCCAGGTTTAGTGTCAAAAACTCAAAGTGACAATCCCCCTCGTCTACATGCCTAGACTTTGAGGATCATGGCTGCTGTTGCCGGGGCTGTTCATTAAACCAATGAAACCTACCGAATTCGACTTCAGTTAGTCGGTTTTTTGGCATTTTTGAGTTCAGTTCGGTTTTAGTTTGATCATCTATAAATCAATCAAAATTAATTCGATTATATATATATATATATTAATTCGATTCGATTATATATATTAATATTTTATATTTTAAATTTAAAATTTTAAATATAAAAATTGGGAAAATTTTTATATTTTTTAGTTTAAAATATTTTATATTAAATTTATTTTAATAATATTGTTGTACTTTTTTAAATTCACATTTAATTTATAATTTATATCTTTTGAGTTATAAATCAATCCTAACTGATACAACCCGAGTTGGCTAATTTTCACTAATGATTGATCAATTAGAGTGATGAATTCCCTAACCCGATAAAATTAATTCGATTGGCCAAACAACCTATAACCAAAATGGAGACCCATAAGCAACCCAAACGGTTGGGATGATTTTGAGAATTAAAAGTTGAAACAAACCCATGCCAGTTGATGTAAATTGGATATCTTTTAAGGAAATTTTTTTATTAGTACCCTGTACCTTGGGCCTAGTGCCACTTTGATCTCTGAATTTTAAAATGCGACAATTCAATACCCAAACTTTCAAAACATGACAATCCAATACTTGTCATTAATCAGATGTTAACCTGCGGTTAAGTGATATTTGGAAAAGACACAAGTGCCCTTCAAGTGTCATTTAATTCTTTATCAACCATCTAAATGTTGACAAAGAATTAACAGTGCCAAATCCTTACTTCTTCCATTCAAGAAAGTTGGAGTCACACGTTTGAATAGAAGAGACAAGGATTTGGGACTATTAATTTTTTGTCAATATTTGGATAGTTGATAAAGAAAATTGGATGACATTCAAATGATATTTATGCCTTTTTCGAATGCCACTTAACGGTTGATTAACAGCTAATTAATGGTATGTACTGAAATGTCATGTTTTAAAAGTTTGGATACTGAATTATCGCATTTTAACATTAGGGACCAAAATGACATTAAACTCAAAGTACAGAATACTAATTGAGAATTTTCTCCATCTATTATTGGTATAGAGATGGAAACCATTGAGATGGAGGTGAGGGCTACCCAGGTTTAGAGCAGGGTGGGTTCAGAAGAGCAGATCCGGGGAAAAGAAAAGAAAGTAGACAATTGGATAGGTTGGGGGGCCGTGGGACTAAGGACTGGCACTGCCACACCAAAAGATGGGTTGTTACCTACATACATGCATGCAGAGTGCAGACAGAAGCTGAAATGCTTCACATGCCTTAACAAAGTTCACATGCCCGTAATTCCAAATACATGCCGCCATGCAAAAGTCCCTTATTAATATCCACTACAAGCAGAGAGAGAAAGAGAGAGACCTGTGGATGATGGGTTTTTGAAATGTGCTTTTTAAATGGTTTTTGAAAAAACAAAAACTTTTTTTTTTTAAATGGGTTTTTAACAAAAAAAAGTACTTTTTAAAATGTGCTATTAAAAATTGCTTTTTTTTTCTAATCTTTGGATTAATGCTTTTTACATCAGTTGTTTTGTTTGAAATAGCAAAAAAAACCCAACAGTTTTTCTATTGGTTTTTGGATTAGGTACAAGGTTTTGTTGTCGGTGATTGCCCTGCGTGGCTGGATTCTGTAATTGAAGTAGTAGTGGTAGTTTAGTGGTTCTTTTCTGTTAGGTGATTTTCCTTGGTAGTCGTTATCTGCTCTATATCTATTGTGAAGTTGTTTTTTATCTATTTTTGTTAGAGCTGAAAAAGCCTGAAATCGGTCGCAGTGAAAGTTTATTTACATTGATGCAAAACTATGATAGTGCAAGTGATTTGGGTGCAAATTCTGATTTATCTTTATTTCAAATTTCACCCCATTTTGTTTGATTTTCAATAAAATGAAGAAAACCAAGACTTGGATCAAAATAAAGTAACCCCCAAACAAAATCAAACCACAACTTCCATTCTTTTCATTGCACCGCATGCATTTAAACCAGTGTAAATAAAATTGCACTGCAACCAAATGGAAATCACTGCAATCTTAATGGAACCAAATTGCGCTCCCATGCACTACAGTCTAATGGAAAACATTATTGTTTACCGAAAAAACAAAGTGAAAAAAAAAAAAACTACAGAAGCCTGTTGTGAAAACAATTCCCAAACATGGCCTTAGTGCCCATTTGGGAGGGTTTTAAAACGTGGTTTTCGGGGTTCTGAGCTGGGCCTTACATAGAAATGCCAGAAGATATATTTGGTAAAAATCCAAAAAGCCAATTACTATGTTCTTAATGCCAGAAACATGATTTTCAAAACCGGATAGGACTGGATGGTCAGACCAGAAAAATCAGGAATCAATCAAGTGACTGGTTCTGTTTTATTCAAAAAACCATTGATTTGGTTAGTAAACCGTTGATTTAGGCGGTCGAACCATTCGAACCATCCAACAGTTTGGCTATTTTTATTTTTTTGTCAGAACGGACCGTCTATTCGATTCAAACTACCGGACCATTTGACCTGACAGTTGGACCCCTAATCGGTTTGTCGTCCGATTCAGTTTTAAAATCCTTGGTCAGAAATGTAATTGAAATACAAAGTTACTCTAGATAATTTTCCTGAAACACAAATGCTCAATCAGCACGGCAGAATCACCACACTTTCTCCAATGCAAAAAACCTTCCCAAACAGGCTCTTAGTAAAATAAATAGAGAAACAAAAAGTAAAATATAGTATTATAAATATAGAAGAGCAATAGAGAACTGAGAAAGCGACCTGGGTATTTTGGAAGGAAAATAAAACAACACACAACATCGTTGCAGATCAAACCAAACCAGTCAATCGTTACTCTGGAGTCTGGATGGGTTACGTGACGTGTCTCTCTCCCTCTCTCCTTAATTTTTATTTTTTTTAATTTTTTTACCACGACGTTTATTGACCATACAAGGCACGTCATAAAAGGAGACGCACGGTATCATCGTCCGTCAGATCTCAGGAAATAGCAAAACTGCCCCTGGGATTTCTCAAATATTGGACAAATGCCCCCCGCTGCACGTGATCTAAGAATTTTGTCGGGTCCCTTTCGCGAGGGATTCGACGAGCGCCCTCCCGTGACTCCTGAGGGTACTTTCGTCATTTAGATGAGTCACGGCGGCTGGTTTGGTACAGTGGTACTTCGGAGATTTGTTGAAAATGTGGGTGCCATTTCTTCTGTTCCCTCTCTCTCTCTATTTTTTAATTTTTTAATTTCAAAATTCTGTATGGCTTTGGAAGAAAATAGGAAAATATCGCCGCAGAATCGGACAAAACTACAACCATCCGCCAGCAAGGTTCAAACTCAGAAAAATTATTAAATAATTTCATGCTTTCATGCTCATCTCTTAACGTGAGTTACAAACTACCCCTCATCTTCTCGAATATATCCCAAAACGCCCTAGGCTACCCCTAATGATTAAAAAAAAAACGATTAAGAAATAAGAGTATAGATTAGCTAGTTTCAATTTAGTTGAAAGTTTAAGAAAAAAAGAAAAAGGAAGACTGGGGAGTGGTTGAATTTGCTGGACTGAATGGATTTTGTTTTGTCTCTAGTGGAATCATTCAATCTAAAAGCTTAAGTTGTTAAGTGAGGTTATTGAATCGATTTTTATTTTTAATTCATTCTTTCAAAAATTTTAATTTGAAGTACGAATAAATAAGAGATGGGATTCAATGGTTATACCATTCTCACAGCCTTATATGCTTTTTTTCATAGGGAGATATTTTCAATGCAAAACTGCAAAACATTATATGTAAACAGTGTGAGCACAGTCTTGTAAGGACCAATAAGAACAGACCCACCTATACCTTAAATTGAAATCTAATTAATTATAATAGTAACAACAAGGATCAAACACTAAATCATTTGATCAAACAAACTCTGATACCATCTCAAAAGAATCCTTATAACCTAAAAGCTTAATCTACTAGGTGAGGTCCCCCTAATAGTTTTTTGTTCTCTTACATTAGTGAATAAGCCATTCAGTTAAGCTATATTCAGCTGTTGAATCATAACCACAGCAAACTTGGGTACTGAAATTAATTTCATACAAGCCAACAACCGTTCAGTGTATTGACCAGTGGTCTGCACAAAATGATCAACAAAGTAGTCATTAGCACAAGTAAATCATGGTCTCACAGCAATGGAGTATTTCTACTTTTGGCAGAAACGAAATGCATGTAATTGCATGCAAGCTTATTGACCTAGACCCCAACCGTTATTCAACCTTACTTGTAATAAGCACTGTTTCTTTCCATTTTATAAAGGAAAAAAAATAATGTCTACCAACTGTTTGTAAAATTGTAATAACTGTGAGTAGAGTCGTGTCTGCAAGCAATGGTCAAGGTCCCACCCGTGAGTTCTCTGCCCGTTCCGTCAAGAAAACGATCGGACTGACCAAGGGATGCTGATTATTGGATGCATGTTTACTTGTTCCACCCTTGTTTTTTTTGAAGAACTCAAGTTTTTTTTTTTTTTTTTTCTTTATCTTTTGCTCTTTTTTTCTTAGCCATTTGATTAGAATAAGATAAGCTAGCTAGGCTTAGCCGATTCATGGTGGGAGAGGAAATTTAGATGCATTTAGCACACAAAAGTTGAATTTTGAGTAGAATTAACAGGGTAAATGACATTCTTTCTCTAGTAAGATGAAAAAGTATTATTAATAGAGGACTGAGACTGTGGAGTCAATTCGAGATAGAAAAGGGAAATAAAGAGAGATAGAGGGGCAATTGTTTGATACCCAGAAAAAAAAATTAAAAAAAAAAAAATATTGAAGGGCATATGTAGCCCATGTAGGTTATGAACATAATACATATATTTAAAAACAAAGCCAAAGGAAGAGCCGGTTCTGATGTTCTTCTCTTGGCAGCAGGAGGTTTCTTCTTCTCCAGAAATGAAGGAGAATTCCCTGGTTTTTGTCTTCCTCTGGTAAGAGCAAATCCCAGCATTTGTGTTCACCGAAAAAACAAACCCCCTTTAGAAGAGCACCAACAACAAGAAATCAAAAAAGAGAAAGAAAGAACCAAGAAAGCATAGAGTTTGAAAAAAAAAAGAAAGAGAAAGAAAGACAAACTTCAATTATAATCACTCAATCAATCCCTCCTCCCATGTCAAACATCACAGGTGATGGTGGGAGCTTCTCTTCTGGCAACACTGGAGAAGTCCAGCAGCAGCAGCAACAACAACTACAGCATCGCTTCCATGGCTCCAACTCTGGACCTTCCACCACAACTAACAGTAATGGCTCCACTTCCCACCAGCAGCAGCAGCAGCAGTCGGTCAAGAAGAAAAGAAACCTACCAGGAAATCCAGGCAAATTCAACTTCTCCTTCAACCTTCAGCCATTATCATTGTTTCCTAATTCCTAGTACCTAATTTTAGTTTCATCTTTTCATCTCTTAGATAATTAAAACTAAGATTCTTTTTTTTTTTTTTTTTTGAGGGGCTGTTCAATTCAATCTAAGTGATCCATGAAGGTGTTCTTCTTTAAAATTTGGATTTCTTTGTTTTTTTTTGGGGAACTGAAATGGGTTTTAAAGAGGATTTCTCTCCAGTTTGGTTACTGAGTTATTTATTTTTTTATCCTTAGATTTTCTCTCCTCCGGTTTTAATGGCTTGCATGTAATTCCGGACGTGGATGTCACGGATTTGATTCTTCCTCAAAAGCACCAAGAGGAAAAGCTTTGCCGATTTGGGATGCGAGTTCTTGAAGTTTTAAAATTGACTTTGGCTTTTGAAATGGGAAACTACTGAACTTTTTTTTTTTTTTGGTTGTTGAAGGGTTCAATTATTGACTGGAGATTCCAATAATTGCAGAGAACTGTTGTTAACTCTATTCCCTTTTCGCTTAAATTAGTTTTCTTTATTTTTTCCTTTAAATTTCTCCAACTGTTTTAGATTTTCAGAGTACTAATCAGGAATAATATCCGTATCTGATTTTGTTGCTGACTCTCCTTTTCTCTTTTTTTTTTTTTTCAAGCTTACTGTTCTAAGGTTTCTCTGATTCTCTCCAAATTAAGCAAATTTGATCTTGTTGTTAATTAAACTATTATTATCAGTCCTAATATTTAGTTTAGATAAGGTTTCCTTTGTAGACATACTCCCACGAGTCTGTTCATCAGTCATGCATCGTCATCAATGCCTACTTAGTTCCCTAAATTTAGAATTATTCAACTTCCGCTGGAATCCAGTTAAACCCATGAATTAAAGGACACTGAAAATTGGTCGAACACTTGGTAGAAAAAGATATAGATTCTAAGTTCTTTGATGGGCTGTGAAGCTTTCTTGGATATGAGAATTGATGAACAAAACAACAGGAGACTGAAGGAGAAAAATGGTGATTAGTAATGGGATTTTTGCAATTTACATGTGCAGACCCAAATGCGGAAGTCATCGCTCTATCGCCTACAACCCTGATGGCGACAAACCGGTTTATATGTGAGATCTGCAACAAGGGGTTTCAGAGGGATCAGAACCTGCAATTGCACCGGAGAGGCCACAACCTCCCATGGAAACTCCGGCAGCGGACGAGCACCGAGATCAGGAAGAAGGTATACATATGCCCCGAGCCATCCTGCGTCCACCACAACCCAGCTCGGGCACTGGGCGACCTTACAGGAATTAAGAAACATTTCTGCCGGAAGCACGGCGAGAAGAAGTGGAAATGTGATAAATGCTCGAAGAAGTATGCGGTGCAGTCGGACTGGAAAGCTCATTCGAAGATCTGCGGCACTAGGGAATACAAGTGTGACTGTGGAACCATCTTCTCCAGGTTTACACTCATAACCTTATTAGTAGTTATTACAATCTTCTCATGGAAATAACAACTACAATCTAATTCTAACAAAGAATTCAAATAAATGAATGTAAGGACCCGTTTGGTTCGTGGGAATAGGGTTTGGAATCGAGATCGGAAATTTGGAATGACCCATTCGGATTTCAACTGTTTAGTTGGGCAGAATCGGAATCCCATCCCCCTCTCTCATGAATGAAATCCCGCTTCAACTTATTTCAATTCTAATTTGGATTCCTGATTGAACCAAACAGACTATGAGAATTAGACCATTTCTATCCCAACCGATTGCAAATCAAACGGACCCTAATTTTCTCAAATGATTGGCATTAATATAACATGAAGAATTAAAAAAAGGAGAAAGCAAATGATCAGTTTTTTTCTTGTTCCGGGCCTATCTCAAATGCTTTTGTACCGCAGGCAACACCTGAATTAGTGTAGTATATTAGTTTTCCAAACAAGGTAAAATTGGTAAATGGCCGACAAAGTGAGGAAACCTTTTCACATTTACTTTAGGATACCTTTTATGCTTTTGAGATTGTCTCTACATCGAACACTTCTGTAAAGAGAAGACAAATTATATTCTGTGGGTAATTTATTTTGTGATTTTATTGAGTTGTAGAGCACCCAAATTAAATGTCTATAACGTCCCTAATGAATCGCTAAATACCCACATTCCTACTTGACTGATACTGATGCTGCTCTTATATCAAGCTGTTGTTCTACCTTTATGAATTATAATCAGTGATCTACTATCCCATTAAACATTCTGTTCTTTGTAGTCTTTACTGTAAGATTATTATTCAAACCTAGTTTACCAATTAAACTTAGATTCTCTGTAGGACCGGACATATTTGCAATAAAATTCTCGTCCGTTTGGCACAAAAGAGCTTTCAGTCCCAAGTACTTAAAGCAGGATATGCATAGGATTCATGCATATATATAAGATTCTCTCTCTCTCTCTCTCTGTGTTACTGCACTTTCTCATTGTGTCTGGTAGATGTCTTAAGATTAATTAATGTATATACTGACTGACCTGAATGAGTCAACTCCCTCCATGCAGACGAGATAGCTTCATCACGCATAGAGCTTTCTGTGATGCATTAGCAGACGAAAACAACAAAGTGAACCAGGGCTTAGTGTCCAGCTTTGGAAGAAGCTTACCAGGCCAAGTCTCTGAGCTCATGTCGTCCATGCCCATAAACACCACCAACAATGCATCGATGGGGATATCCGAATTTAACCATCCCCACGCCAAGAACCCTCTCAAGCCCCTAGCCAATGATCTAATGTCTATGCCACTCAAGTCTCTGAACATGGCCGGCGGCATGTTCTCCAGCAGCGCCGGAGCCCTCCTCGGCAGCCCAAGAGGCATCAATTCATCCTCCTCTTGCCTTCAGCTATGTGCCAACAGCTCGTCCAGCTTCGACGGCCTCAACGACACTAAGAACGGGCGCCATCTCGTCGGATCGGCCTACATGTCCGCCACAGCTTTGTTGCAGAAGGCAGCTCAAATGGGTGCAACCGCAAGCAGCAACATCAACTCCTCCGTGATGCAAAAGAGCTTCCTATCGGGCATGACGGGGACTGATCAGCTCTCCGGCCTGAGACCATCGGCTTACGGAGGAATGCAGCAGGACAACAGCTCGTATAATCACATCCAACAACAACAAACAGACCACTCACAACTAGCTGCGATAGAAGGCGGAGGATTCTCGAGCCAGTTCTTGCAGAAGTCCACACAAGAGACGTCGTCGTCGACCCAGCTTTTTGTTGAGACCACGGCGGGCGTCCAGAGCTCAGAGATGAATGACATGGGAATATTCTCGGGGATGTTCGTGGGAGGTGATCAGAACCATGGATTCTTGAAGAACATAGAGCAGGAGAACTGCAGTAGTACTGTTATGCCATCACAAGGAAGGAACATCAACCTGGGGTTGGAGATCCCCCCGACTAGACTGAATCCGGCGGGGCCATCGATAAGGTTTGGAGGGAACAGCGGCGGAGATACGATGACAGTGGATTTCTTAGGGATCGGAGGGTCGGGACTGAGGAATTTGCAAGAACAACAACATCAACGGCAACAACAGGGACTGGAATTTGAGGCAATCAGTCAGCGGAGGTTGCAAGGATTGCATCAGTTACAGCAACAGATATCACATGGACAAGCAGCAATGGAAAAACCCATGTGGGATGTTTGAGAGAGAGCTGCTCCGGTCGCTTCGATCTCTTTCATCCTTTTGGCTTGTATATTTGAAGGGTTTCTCTCTTTCTCATAGATTTCAGTTTCAGCCATGGAAGAACCCAGGTGGCTTGCTAAAGAGCAAGGCACTAAGGACCTTGGCTCTGTTTAGGACAATTCATATCGATCTAGACTTTTGATCCCCGAAAATGATTTTTATATTGACTTGAGGGAACCCCAAGAAGATTGAAGCTCTGTCATTGTCAACTGGTTCAGAGCAAAGCTCCTCGGGATCACATTTTCGTAGACAAGGGAAGTGTGTATCAGTTCAAACTTCGAAACGACGAGTCGACGACAACTTGATCCATATAGAATTGCAGAAGGAAATAAGTATTAGGGGTATAGCAGAGAAGGCCCTGTTGGAAATCAAATCTTTCGCAGGCCAGCTCAGGACTCAGGTCAAGACTTTAATAGCTACGAGCCTAGAACTAGAGTCATCAAGCAACCCATGATGAGCAATTAATAAGCCTTCCATCAATCACGACCTAAGATATTTGCTCTACAAAATGTAATTTATTACTCACAGAGCGGCTACAGGCCTACAGCATAATTTATAATTTATGAACCAGGCCCAACCCTAAGAATTGGGCTTTCAAACTCGAACTATTCAACCCGAACTCAGTTAATATTAAAATTTACTGCATTCGGGTTGGGTTCGAACCCAGATAGCTCAAGTTAATCAATTAGTTCATACTAAAAATTGACACCCAAGGGTTAGGCCTGAATCCAGCCCAAAAAAAATTAAAAGCCCAACCTTTTAGGCCCAGACCCAGCCCGAGGACAAAAATTTAAACCCAGCCCGTGCATAATTACAAGTTATGACCCTACTTCATTTGTTCAAGAAATATATGTGGTAAAAGACAAAAACAACCCTGTGTTTTCCACTTTGATTCCATCCGGTTGAGTTCAATTCATGCTGACATACATATCCTTTGAGGGAGATCAATGGTAGGATCCCCAATAAGAATGCATCTTTGAGTGTATAAGTACAAAGTTTACCTTATAAATGTAAGTCTCAGTTTGAAAAAGGTGCAAATATAAAAATGCACGATGTAAACGTAAGGTTTAGAAATGTCGTAAATAAGGTTTTGCACTAAATACATTTGCATTTATACTGTTTCCAAATTTAGGCTCAGTTAAGTTTGAGAACAATGTAAATACAAATATATACAATATAAATACAAAGTTTAGAGGTAATATATAAAGTTTTGCACCGAACATATTTGTATTTACCATCTTTTCAAGTGGAGTCTTAAAGCTCAGTTTGAAAGGAGTACAAATATAAATATATAGGGTACAAATACATGTAAAATAATACAAAATACAAGATTTTGTACTTTACATATTTGTATCTGTACTCCTTCCAAACTGAGTCTTAATGCACTATCTGTATTTACATGCTCCAAATGCATTCTAGCACGATTCAACAATGGATATATTCAGCTTCGTTTGATTGATATTTTGATAGTTTGTAAAGAATTGTTTCTTACCAAGTTGGATTTCAGGTGAATACGTGGGCACTTGCAAGGCCCAATTTGAACATAGGCCCAATTACACATTTTCATGGACTGGGCTGGGACTCAGATATACTGCAACGTATTTGAATTCAGAAGGCAGGTTTTATCAACATGTGTAACAAGGGAGTTGGGAGTTGGGACTGTCTATAATGCTAGCAAAGAAGGTAGCTCTGGTATGTATTCGGTTGCAGCCCTTGCAAGAAACTATCTAGGTGAGGTGATAGATTACATGGCCTACAAATTAGGCTTGACGACCATCAACATGGCTGAAGCTTGGGCCACTTGGGAGGCCCATAATTTGGCAGAAAACTTCACTAACCATTCCATCATCATCATCGAGGGTGACTCAAAGGTATAGAAGAAGAAGAAGAAGAAGGAAGCTCTAGGATGACTTATTATTCTAACTTTTCAGTCCCAGCAATAAGAAATTCCAATCTAACGACGCTCATGATCAATCGATCAGAATTAAGTTCATTCCGTTTTTAGATAAATGATATATGATTGAACTAGAGAATGATCCATGTTAATATGGTGCAATTATACCTATATATTTTTTGTTTTTCTTTATTATCATTTTGTTTGAGATTCACTATTTATCTGATAATTATATTTAATTTAAATAATCAAATAATATTAATTTATAATTTAAAAATCTTTATAATAATTCTTTTATTTGAATTTATAATCAAATAATATTTTATAATAATTCTTTTAATTTTGGACCAGATGGCTGTTAAAATCTTTGATATTGTTTCTTATTGATTAATGAATCATTTTGAAAATACATAATATGGGTTTGAAAATTCTCTATAATTTAGTAAATTCGTACACGAACTGAAAGCCTGGTTCAAGGGTCTGTCTAACGAGTAATGAAAACAAAACAAAGACATCCTGTGGACTCGGAAATTCCAAGAATGATAATCACACTGAGTATTAGATTTATGAGGTTACGAGTTTATGTTTCACCTTCATTAAAACAAGAGCTTTTACAAGGTCCCGAAGACCATTTGGAATTGGAGGACGAATGGAAGATGGCCACTTTTAGTGTTTACATTGAGAAATAGTGACAAAAACATGCAAATGTAATTCCCTATAAACTTGAGCCTTATTACCCTTAATCCCAAAAGATTGGACCCTGTTTGGTTCGTAGTAATAAGGATCTGGAATTGAAATTGTATTGGGCCATTCCAATTTCAATTGTTGGTTGAGTGGAATCGTAACCTTACTCCTATGGCATTCTCCTAAAAAATGGTACCGAGGAAGACTGGCATTTTCCCACTTGGAAAAGAAAATTAGTGCAGGGGTGTCTGACAGCATACAGGGAGTCGGAGGTAGCATTTCACCAATGTAAAAGTCATGGACCAATTCCTCCAGCCCTTATTCTATGTGTTGTTCTATATGAATGACATTAGACTCAACTTGCTAGATATTACAGAGATTCAATGGTCATTCTCTCCCCCTCTCTTTAGAATGAAATTTCATTTTAACTGATTTTAGTTCTATTTTCCATTTTTATCCGAACCAAATAGATTATTGTGGTTCTAATTCTAGGGGATTTTGATTCCGATGAGGGCCAATTTGGCCCTCCGTTGACCTAGCAACATGTGGCATTCGTCTTTCCTGCATGACACCTCAGCGCTATGTGGATAGATGTGTATCTTGCCGAGTCAAGGGGACGCACCCCAGAGTCAGTCCAAGGCACCTCGTCGCTACCGGTATAAGGGACCTCGGTGTGATGAGCGACCTCTTCGAGGATTTGCTGACCTGTGATACCTCGTCAATAACAGTCAAAGTGACCTCGGCATGGGTAGCGACCTCCTCAAGGACTTGCCGACTTGACTGAGGTCCAGGTGGCGACTTGTGAGACGTGCTCGCCAACCTCTTCCTTAAGTAAGTTATTGTTTATGATTTCTTTAGGATCATGACACTCGACCATTACACCCGTCTTTCCATATCGTCCGCATCGGAGTTAATCGAACGGACTCTATTTCTCTCCTCCGAACAAGGCGGGTGTGGTTTCCTAGGAATTTTGGTTGTGTTACAGGAAGCTCCTTGTTTCTTACACTTATTTAAAGACATTCACTCCCTGAGAGAAGGTATGCACAATTCAGCTCTCAAACACTCTAGCACTCTCGCTCTTTAGCTCTTTCCAAGATCTTCAATTCGTTGACTTAAGCATCAGAGTGCCCACTCCAAGTAAAGTAGCCCAGATACTCTAATACTGTCTTTTTGTAAGTCAACTCAACTAACTCGCTAGCTTGGCATCCGAATTATCCTCCAACAGGAAACTGCCTGATCGCACATCATCACATTCCAATTCCGAATGTAAACTAAATAGACCCTAAGACTCTGCGGCCATGTTAATCTTGGATTCACACAACCCCTAATCCAAAGCTTTTTCTCCCTTGGAGACTTGCAGTGGAGGCAAATTCATAATTCTGCCAATTCACAACACCGCTCATGTGATCCAAGTACTTTGTAGACCGTAGTGTAGAATTCACAACACTGCTCATGGACTTCTATTGGGCACCAAGCCACCACTGACTATAAATTACAGAAGTCTCGCCGATTAGTGATTAAGATTTAAGATTGAACTTGAAATCTCAGAATGCCATTTACCCAATAACTCATGGGGATGAGTGAGATAGATTCATAACCAAGCAGCAACCAGCTGATAGTTCTCTTACTACCAAGGTTTTTAAAAACCGGACTGGATAGGGAATCGTTCTGGGTTGAATGGTCCAACTGTCCAGTTTGAATGAACAGCCCACTCTGACAGAAAAAATTTAAAAGAAAAAATTAAAATTTTGAAAACCCAAAATTGCCAAAACCTGTTCTCGAATCAAATGGTTTGACAATCCAACTGCTTAGGTCAATAGTTCGCTGTCCAAATCAACGATTTTTCAGCTAAAAAACAATTTTGGGGTTAAACGGAACCGTCAGGTGACTGACACCCGGTTTTTTCCGATTCGACCGTCCAGTCTAATCCCATTCCGACATGACGGTAGAAGTTGTTACGCCAAAAGATGTTAGAGAGAAGAAACTCTATCCTCGATCCAAATCCACGTATGTTGAATAAATAAAATATGGTTTGCTTTCAATTCCCACATCGATAGGAAGTGAGTTAAGCGAAAGCAAGAGGTGAACATAAATAACGGGCGAGAGGGATGGTGAAATATACTTACCTGGACGGGGTCAATGGGTGATCAAGAAAGCTTATGGCCTAGGTTGGCGACCTCCATTGCACTTTGAGGCGTGCCCGCCTAACATCTCCCTAACTGGGAGAGTGTACGTCATAATTTGTGGTAGCGGGGGTACGCGTTCGCGCGGCCCTTACCCAAATTTATTTCGAAACTTTTCTACTTTACCCACCTCTATTCATTTCCCAGGTTCTTGGTGTATTTTTCCAGAATGATGGCATTAGAAGGGTTTAAGGCGCCCCGTGGTGATTGTAATCCGATTTGGCTTTCCTTCACTCCATAATATTCTGGAATTGGATTCTCCGACCTTACAATTGCAAGGATGCTTTTTGTTCACATTCTAAGCTGCGTTCAAGATATATGTTTTTCTTCTTTCGCAACCTCCATTGCATCATTGGATGAGGAACAAAGATCAAGGGTAGAGAATTTCACCCATGGTTCAAACCGTTGATGATTTGGTCAGATCATTCAGCCCAGG